TTACTATTTATTCTTTGATCTATAGATTATTAGAAATGTGTCAACTTATACATATTTGAAGATTTTATAGATATCTTATTGCTGATGACTAATATTACCTGGCCAGAGAATACACGCTACATGATTTCAGTCTCTGGCAGTGTGTTGAGGTTTGTTTCATGGCCCAGCAAGGGGTGCGTCCTTGTAAATATGTCAGGTGCCCTTGCAAGGTGTGTGTGTGCTGTAGCTGTCGAGCGCAGTAATCTACAAACACCACTTCAGTCTGCCTGGTGGTTGCTGTTTAGGGCTTGTGTACCTCACTGAATGCCTGCTGACTTTATCAGTTCCTGAGAGGAGAATGTTCAGATTGCCGATGATATTGTGGGATTTTTATTTCCCTCCCATGGCGGTTATCTTTGCGTGTCTTGTGCAGCTCTATGAATGAGGTTCTGTGCATTAAAATGAATAATGTCTTTTGGCTTTTTTGGTCCCGGGAATTGAACTCAGGACCTTGCATTTGCTTGGCAGGTGCTGCGCTGCTAAGCTGTCTCCCTGGCCCAAGAAATGTCTTCTTAAGGATTTACCCTTTCAGTATGACATGTCCTTTTTTGTCTGTATTCCTCTTTTCATTAAAGTGTCTTCGATGTAATTTTCTTATAAATTTGTATCTTTTTCTATCCTTTTACATTTAACCTGTGTTTATATGTTGTTTCTTAAAAAAACTCTAAAAATATAGTAGTTCAATCTTGTTTTTTATGCATTCTGACAATTTCTACTTTTTTTTGTGGTACCGGGGATCGAACTCGACCCTGCGCTTGCCAGGCAAGCGCTTATTCTACTGAGCTATCTCCCCAAGCCCTCTACTTTTAATTGGGATATTGAATAATTTATAGTTATCTAATTATAGATTGATGCAGTAGGTAGTAAGGCCACTGTCTCAGCATTTGTTTCTTTTTTTTTTTTTTTTGGCGGAAGCGGGGATTGAACTCAGGCCCTTGTGCTTGCCAGGGAAGCGCCTATTCCACTGAGCCATCTCCCCGGCCCCACAGCATTTGTTTCTTAGCATGTTTGTTCTTTGTTCCTCCTTTCTTGTTTCATTTTGGGTGAATCTACTCACTTTTGGTTCTCTGTTTTATCTACTTGTTTGTGTTTTTCTCATTCTTGGTGGTCACTCTAGAGATTATAATAAACACCTTGTTCCGGAGTGTATTTTCAAATAATACGGTATTATCCTGTTTTACAATAGAGTGTTTCCATTTACTCTCTCTTGTCCATTGTGATAGCATCTGATACATGGCATCTACAGACATTAACCCTAGAACTCAATGTTCTTATGGTTTTAAAAACTAATAGACTTCTACCGGATTGTATTTACATATGCACTAGAAATACTAAAAAAGTTTACTTACTTACATTTAATGACTTTGTTTGCTGGTATATTTATGTTTTGGATTTTCTGCAGCTCCTATCTTTCTGAACATCTGATATCATTTCTCTCCAGTCAGAAGAGCTTCTCATTCCTTGTGATGCATTGTTTAGAAATTAACTCTCTCAGCTTTGCCTGTCTGAAAATACTATTTCATCTTCACTTTGAAGGGCACCTTTTTGGATGTAGAGTCCTAGGATGGCAGGGACTTCCCCACTTAGGGCTTCCATTCCATTGTTTCAGGTGTGCAGTCAGGAGTGGTGTTGTGGGAGCATGTGAGGAGGATGCAGTTCTCTTCGTGTGCACCCTGCTTGGAAGTGCCAGAGCACAGAAGAGGAAAATGCAGGCTGCCTGTGCCTGCCGCTCTCGGTGCCCAGCACCCCTGCGGTCCCAGCAGTGCCTCGCCCCCACCCAGTGAGCGTCTGACCCCAGCTGGGTGTTCTGGAATTGAATTCTTGTGCTGTCTGCCTGGGAACGCTTCACAAGCTAAGCATCTGCCCCGCAGCCTGCTGCCACTTTAGGTGCCAGCCACAGAATCCAGGTTGCCACCCAATCCCCTGACCCAGTGGGTAGAAATCGGAGGTCCTTACAAACCCCTCTTTGGGCTCTATCATTTGTGGACTGGCTTACAGGCTTAAGAAACACATAGATTTATTATATTGATAAGAAATGTTGCTGGGCACATTGGTACATGCCTGTGATTCCAGCCCTCGATAGGCTGAGGTAGGAGGATCATTGTGAGCTTGAGACCAACCTGGGCTACAAAGTGAGCTCAAAGCCAGCCTAAACTGCACAGCGAGACCTTGTCTCAAAAGCATTATGTCTATATCTATATCTATAGATAGATAGATAGATAGATAGATAGATAGATAGATAGATAGATGATAAAGGTTGCAGATGAACAGTCCAGTGGAGAAGTGCTTTGGTGAGGTCTGGGGGGCCCCACAGGAGCCTTTGTCCTGTGCAGTTAGGGTTTGCCTTCCTTCTTGCACACGTGTGTGCTCACCAGTCCAGAACTCTCTGAGCCTCAGAGTTCAATACATTCTCGTGGTAGCCTACAAGATGCACCTTATAGGTGTGGAAGGTTATTAGCTCAGTCTCCTCTTCCTTGAGGATCAGGGTTGAGGCTGGGAGTTCCAGGCTTCTGAAAATGGCTTGGTCTCCAGTACCCAACCCCCATCCAGAAGCCAAATAAGTCTCTTCTTTAGAATAAAAGGCAGTCCTGTTTCCCAGGAGACTCTAGGGCATCAGCAGTCTGTGCTAGGAACTGTGGCTGCAGACCCGGAGCAGCACGCAGTGCACACTGAGCACCCCACTGTTAGGGAAGTATGTTCTAGGAGCTCCAGGTCAGCAGCAGGGCACTGAGAGCAAACGTATGCTATCTATTGTGTCCCAAGGGTTTCAGAGAAATATTAGCCTATGAAAAGTTTTTCATCAACTCCCCACCATTCTCTCCTTTAGCATCTTTTTCTTCTGTAACTTGTTATATTTGTTGATATGTTCTGTAAGATCTTGGGAATACTGTTTTTTTTTTACTCCTTGTTCTCCTTTTCTTTCAAGTAACAAGACTTTTCTTGGTCTGCTTTCAACTTTATTAGCCCCATTGTTTACTACCTACTCTGTTGCTGTGCTTATTGCATTTCTAGTATTAAGGTTTCATGTCCAAGGGCCAGGGAGATAGCTCAGCGGTCTAAAGCACCTGCTTAGCAAGCGCTCAGGGACCACGGCTAGATCCTCGCCCACATGCTGCACCGGTCCTGCCCCAGGGCGGCTGAGCCAGCCACGCACACAAAGATTCTCATTTCTCTGCCTCCTTAGGGTCCTACTGTGGAGGTCCTGTTCTCGGCTGAAATGCCCTCTCCACTTTGTTGTCTGTCTCTGCTGCTCGGTCCTTCAGCGAATTCATTAGAGTTGTCGCAAGTCTTTGGTGTATCTGACGCTGGAGTCACCTTCTTTTGAATCTTTTCTCTACTGAACATAGATCCTATTTTCTTGTTTTCTCTGTGTTGTAATATTTTATTATTTGCTAGACAGTTTTTTTTTTTTTTTTTTTTTTTTTTTTTTAAAACCGGGGTTTGAACTCAGGCCCTTTTGCTTGCCAGGAAAGTGCTTATTCTATTGAGCTATCTCTCCAGCTAGACAGTTTGTTTTAAAAAGGACTCTGCAGACTGAACTAAATATTTACCTCTAGAAGTGTCGTGCCCACTCCCATGTCTTGTCAGACTGCTTTACTGGGGGCTCTGTCCACAGTGCAGCTGGGTGAATTAGGGCCTTGGTGCCACTGTGGATAACTTCAGGACACTTCATTGAGACAGTGATAGAGACTGTCCGCAGCAGAGCTTAGAATCCAAGTGCTTGAGTGATTCTGGAGCTATCTTTGTGCTTAGGGATGAGCCGCCAGTTTCCAAATGGTAGAACATTTTTCTAGCTTTTTGCCCCAGTGAGGGCACTTCCACATCTTTGGGGAGCGTCTCGGCCTCCAGCCGTCTGCAGCTTGCTTTCCCTGAGAATTTGTCTTGTCCTAAAGCCCCTACTCCTCTCCTGTGATGGGCCATGCCTTCAGCTGTCACTTGATTACTGTTCCTTTCTTCTTTCTTGTGGGTGAGTTCATCTGAGTTTCTTTGCTTTCTCAGTTTTCTAAGGATTTTTAAAACATCGTGGGATTGTTCACTTTCTGTAGTTGGTTTTGACAGGAGGCTCATGTTCGGTGCTGGCGATTGAGCCCCGGGCTTCATACATGCCTGCCGTGTGCTCTGTCACTGAGGTACAGCTCGGCCCAGATTTATTGTTAGTCGTTATTTGCTTGTGTGGGTTTTTATAATTTTTTTTTTAAATTTTATTTATTTATTTGTGTGTGTGTGTGTGTGTGTGTGTGTGGCCAGCTCAGCTCACCAGGGGGCGGGGCTGGCTGGCATGTGGTGCTGGGGGATTGAACCGCAGTCCCTGTGCTTTGCTAAGCTTGTTCTAAGTAGGTGCTTTAGACCTCTGAGCCATCTCACCAGCCCTTATAATGTTAATGATTTGGTTGTTTTTCCATGATTTTTTTTAAAAAGTAGTAAAGCAGAAGCAGTAATACACTTTGTTGATTAAATATCTTAGGAGTGGATAGTACAGAGGTCATCTTTGACTGATTTTTACATCAATATTTCTAAAAAATAAAGTATTTAGAACTGGAATTCAAGCAATTATCATTCTGCACTTGTAGCCTCATAAAGAATACTACAAAATAAGTGTCAACACTGTGAAAATAGTTTATATGTCTATAAAAAGAGGTCTAGTGACACAAAATAGATTATATTCATAGAATAGTTTTAAGCAAATTTACTTTAGCAAAAGTAAGAGCTCAGCTAAACTTTTAAAAATGTAACTTATTTGTCTACCTTTGTTTCTGTGGTGCATAATCTCTTCTGTTTTTAAAAATTAAATTTTCATTTTGCCACTTAAAAGAACATCAACTTATTTAAGCAGACAATTTATGATACCACTTATCTTGTACTAAATGTAGTGTTTACACTGATGCCATACACAGCTGAGCTGTAGTTAAGCTTGGAGAATAAATCAGTTTCTGACTTATTTTACTGAAAAACAATTTCAGATTCCAAAGCGTGTCTGAAAAGCCGCATCTGGAATGCAAGGCGGAAATGGTGACGCCGCTGGTGACAAACCCTGGGCACGTGTGCATCACAGACACCAGCCTGTATTTTCAACCTCTCAATGGGTACCCGGTATGTGGACCACAGTGTCAGGCAGAGCTGCCTCCGCCTCTGAGCTTGGTGTTCTGGGACTGCAGCCTCACATTTAGTGCACTGTGGTGAGGGTCGGAATCCCTGGCCTCCCTCCTGCCAGCCTCACGTGTTTTATCCGCTTCTTGGGTAATCCTGGAGCCAGTAACTGCATTGTAGGCTCTTTTTCTCTTTTTGGTCACCCTGGGACCCTGGCACTTGGTGGTGTTGAGAAAGCTTGTCCTGTGAAGTCCAGAGTCCATGGAGATTTAGGGCTGTTGGCTAGGAAGCCATTCTGGATGAAGCCAGAGACTCACGATGAATAGGAACTACCACGAGTACACGACCATGAATAAGAAATACGTATTTCCTGCGCGTTCACTCGTGTGTGTGCACACAGAGGGTGGCACGTCTTGCTTCTCCTCAGTGACAAATACAGGAGGGGTAGCTTTTCCTTCAAGAGCACTTAAGCTGGCCCTTCCTTCAGCCAGTGTGCAAGTGGAATGTAGAGCTGCAGCCCTCTGACTTGGGAGAGCTCCTCTAGGGACTTGGGAATGAACCCCAAAATAGAGGTGAATTTAAATTGCTGCCTTGACACTTGTGAAGAGTTGTTGCTTACCTAGAACTGGCTGCTTTTTATTGCAGTTCATTGAAAGAACAGAAATCACAATCCTCTCTGGAAAGGGTGCCGCTTGGCAGTGCAGCTTACAGAATCAGGAGTGTGTTCTGCATAGAAAGCCACACTGGAGGCCGGGGACATGGCTCAGTAGAATAAGCGCTTGCCTCGCAAGCACAAGGGCCTGAGTTCAGTCCCAGGTTCAGCTACTCTGGAAATTCGCTAGTTTGTCATCACCTGGTACTACAGCAGCTAATGCAGTCTGAGTCAGCTGTGATGTGGTAAGGGTTCTGCGCATTAGGTGGAGCGCCCCTGCCGAGTTCTCTGGGCACAGTGCACATGGTGGAGTGGCTTCCCTCGCTGTGTGCTGCACTGGCCGGGCTCCTGCTGTTATAGCTGCCTGGGTTAAAAGCTTGTAGAAACAAGTGTGTCTCAGCGTCCAGGTCCGCAGTGTGAGCACTTCCCTTTTCAGATGTCTCGCTAGGAGACCGTGGCCTGCCCTGAGGTCTCCAGGACAGTCGCTACTGCAAGAAAGCCTGGCCTGCTAGCCAGATGCAGCCCACTCGGAGCCTTGCTTCTTTCTCACTAGTTAATTAAAGTCCTAGAGAAGGAAGAAAATTATTTTCTTCATTAAGAAAGCAACAGCTCAGAGGCCTTGTCCTGTACTGTAACGATCGGTAGTAACCTGAAAGGTAAGTGACTGTTGTCACTGGAGGGGCACTGAGTAATGGAGAAGCGCGTGGCTGCCACGGTGAGGCTCACGCAAAGCAGCAGAGCAGGATGTAGGGCCAGGCGTGTCCCGATCCAAAGCCTTGCTCTCCAAGTGTGCACTTGCAGCACGTTAGGAAGGTGAGAGTCAGCCATTTGTTTTCCCTTTCTGATACTAATGAACAGTTTCTACTCTTTTAAAAGAAACCTGTGATCCATATTACACTCCAGGATGTCCGCCGCATCTACAAAAGGAGGCACGGCCTCATGCCATTGGTGAGTCTGAGGGCAGTCCCAGTTCTCGGGATGTTGTCCTTCCTTCAGTTCAGCTGGTGTTTTACTGGCTTATAAAAGCCTGAAAATGTGCAGTTAAGCTGTATTTCAAGCAGATGGACACCTGTTCTGGCTGCTCTTCCTTCTGGATAAGCTAAAAATTGATAAAGGAATAACTTTTCTGTAGGTAAGAGGCTCTGTTGCAAAAACATTTTTGGTTCCGCAAACAAGAGGGCATAGGGTACCTATGAGTTTCTTGCTCCTAAATTGTCAGTTTCCCACTTAGGGGGGAATGATGTGTGCGGGACAGTCCAGGGCTCTTGCCACCACCTGGTCAGCACAGGGAGTCCCAGAGTCAACATGGAAGATGCTGTGGCCTCAGCTCTTCAGTGCACTGCAGTGTAGACACAGTTAATGTGCATTAATTATTAAACCTTTGAGCTTAGAGAAATAAAGGAATGTTTAAGTCATAGGAGTGGCTCTTCCTGCTGTCCCTCTGAATACATGTATGTCAGTACTTAACATTTATCGGACTTTAGGAACCAGTCTCTACAGCAGCTATGATTCCAAGAGGTTTTTTTTTCTTCATTTGGGTATTTGGTACAGGGTCTCACTATGCAGATTGGACTCGTAGTGATCCTCCTGTTTTCAATCTCCCCAGTGCTGGGATCACAGGCACCACACCTGGACTTGGTTGCCAACTCAGCATGCCCTGGGGGCAGGGCCAGTGCATTGTGCAGGACCAGGGATCGAACCCTGGTGCTTGCCAAAGCAGGCATTTAGTCTGTTGAGCTATCTCACAGGCCCTTCCAAGAGGTTTTTGTTTGTTTGTCTTTTGGGTTTTTTTTGTTGTTGTTGTTGTCTGTTTTTGTTTTTTTGTTTTTGCGGAACCGGGGATTGAACTCAGGCCCTTGCGCTTGCCAGGGAAGCGCTTATTCCACTGAGCCATCTCCCCAGCCCTTTCAAGAGGTTTTTGATACCAGTACTAATTTATGTTTTTCTCCTTTTAATAGCAGATGGTTTTGCAAACACTGTAGACTCTTCCCTCTACAGATAATGCAGAAAATTTGAGTGCAAAGAAGCAGAGAAGAAGAAAGTAACACTGTCACGTGCCTTCTGTGTGAAGGAATGGCTTGTACTGTATAGTGTTTTTTTGCCCCAGGAAGTAGATGAGCTCATATTTTATAGATAATGAAGCTGAGACTCTAGGAGCAGCTTCCTAAACTCCCAAGATAGATAGGAAATGATAGAAGCTGGAATTTGAGCAGGACAGCGCCAGGCTTTCGTCCTTTCTTTGATGATTCCTGCCCTGAGTTAGTCTTTTCAGCACAGTCTTCACAAAATTCATAGTTGTCTTTAACATAATCATAACTTACTAATTGAATGAGTTAATTAGGTATCATTTTGAGATATATGTATATATATATATATATAATTAGCTTATAGAAGAAGGTAAACGTTTGTGTTTGAAAAAGATGTAAAGGCATGGCTCAACTAATTCTGAGTTTCAAAATGATAAGTTAATGAACACTATTATCAGTGAAAACATTTAATGTCAAAGAGGATTTTATAGTTTACTGGACAAGCGTGTGTTGTTCTCAGGAAGTTTATCAAGATAATGTACACACTCAGGAATTTTTTTTAATGTATTTAGTACAGGGTCTCACTACATAGATCAGATTCGTTGTGATTCTCCTGTTTTCAGCCTCCCAAGCAATGGAATTACAGGTGCGTGCCACCACGCCCAGTCTCAATCACCTCTCACTGCGCCCCAGGACAGGGCCAGCAGGGCACAGCAGGGATCGAACCCTGGCCGCTGTGCTCTGCCTAAGCAGGCGCTTTAGTCTACTGAGCTATCTTCCAGCCCTTGGAAAAGATATTTTTTTCTATGAATCAAACTATGCATGGAAAATGAAATATTAAAAGTCAACAATATGGATGTTTAGCCAAACATTTTGTAGTGATATACTGGGTTTTTAAGATGAGTGTGATGCTATTTGTTTTATTCATTCTGAACTCACAGGGCTTGGAAGTATTTTGCACTGAGGATGACCTGTGTTCCGACATCTACCTAAAGTTCTATGAGCCTGAGGAGAGAGACGACGTCTACTTCTATATTGCCACCTACCTAGGTTTGCTGCTCTTCCTTTGCGGTGTCTGCTCACTCATATGATGGTGGTTCAGCTGACAGGGAGCTGGAGTAGCAAATAAGAGAAGAAGAGACTCTATCTAGAATTGCTTCTCTGTAGTTCCACTTATTTCTCTTCATGAGTAACTACAGTTGCCAAAAACCTTAAAGCTAAAAGAAATGTAAATTCACTTTAGTAATAGTTCATTTAAATTTAAATTATGTTTTAAAAATTCTTGATAAAGATATTTCGGTGTTTTTGCTACCTTAATGACTTACAAACTTGAGTGGATTATGGACTCCCCACCTCTATTTTGTTCAATTCTGCTTTACATTGGTAAGGCCAAGAGTGAGTTTATTCATGTGAGACAATGAGGTATCCAGTCACGCATTTATGTCTATCCACTGCGGTCTTTCACAGAGCCGTGCAGAAGGGCTACGCGCCTTCCGTGTGCAGGGCGCCGCCCTCAGCCTGTAGCTCAGTTTTCATTATTGATGACTAATCTTTCGTGGGAAATGTAGCCTTTCTCCATCTTCGTCAGGTAGAACACCTTTACTTTCCTTCAAACATAAACTTTTTTATTAAGTTGTATTACTAAGTTAAAGTTTCTCATTTATAGAGATGCTAGATGAGAAGAGTGAAATGCATTTTATAGTTGGATATTGGGACTATTAATCCTATCTGTTTTCTCTTGTCATGCATAGTGAAATGATTTAGATGATATATAGTGACTTACATCTTCCCTTAGAAATGAATATTTAAGGATAGTCTACTTCAAATAAAGAATATATTTTATTTTACTAGATTATAGTTAATATTTTTCTCATTCGTTGAACAATTTAATGTATAAGTATAGCTGTGTGACAAGCTTGCATTTGTCTCCTAGTTCTTAATTTAATTTAATTTAATTTTCTGACTGTAACAAAATTACAACTAAAGACTCAACTTTCATGGTGAGCCTTCTAATCTCAAGTCAAAACCTTGCCGTGACCTAAAACTGCTTCTCTCACACTGTCGGTTCCCTGTAAGTATTTCTAAGACTTAGCTGAGGGGTTACAAAGGCAGTGAGACAGGAAAGTGTTTTGAATTTTGATTGAATCTTTCTTGATGAGAAAAGACATTTGGTAAGTTTAGATAGGAATAATGAATCAACATCTGAGTTCATTTGCTTGATGCTTCCAATAGAAAGCTAAAAGCAGAGTTTTCTGGGAACGAAAAACATCTAGAGGAGGAGCACTGGTCCATTCCGCACTCTGTGGAGAGAAGGTTCCACGTGTGCGCGTCGTCGGCCACGCCGTTTTCAGAGAGAAGGCGGCCTCCTGGCCCTCTAGCCCGAGAACTGGTCCTCCAGCCAAGCCTTTTTTTTTTTTTCCCCGTTTCCTTTTCTTAGTCATGAATAAATAATATGGGATCACTGACAAATTAGTGGCAGCATGCCTCTGTGGACTTAAAAGAAAATTAAAATATTTTGTTCTGATTTCATAAAATTGGGGAAATAAACTTTCATAACTGCCTATAGTTTGTAAAAATGCTTTAAAACTGAGCACACTTGGAAGACCTTATTATCCATTGTATAAATATTATCTATTGTAATGATAATATGTAATATTTACATTTTTGCTCCATACTTTTATATCTGTTTAATTTATATCATATTCTGGGAGTAGGATAATAGGTCAGTATATTTAATAATTCTCCCTCTTGCTTTTGAGACTTATACTTAGTTGAGTGACTGCTTTGTGAAAACTGATCAATAGCAGGCATTCTCTTGAAATGCATTTTTCCACAGTGTGCGGAAGGGTCTGTATTTTAGGCACCTAGCATTGCACACTTCGCGGAGGTCAGCTGCCACTGCAGGGCGCAGCAGTGACGGCTGGTGGCCTCCTCCCGCAGAGCACCACGTTGTGGAGCACACCGCCGAGAGCTACATGCTGCAGTGGCAGCGCGGCCACCTCTCCAACTACCAGTACCTGCTGCACCTCAACAACCTGGCTGACCGCAGCTGCAATGACCTCTCCCAGTACCCGGTGTTCCCGTGGGTCGTCAGTGACTACTTCAGCCCAAGTTTAGGTAAATGTTGTGCCTTCGTTCTGGTAGAGCTGAGTTGAAAGTGGCTACCCTAAGGGAGAATAGATCCTCTTTTAGAATTGTGATTTGCTGTATGGACAGATTAGAACTCTTCAGTTTTGTTACTAAAGATTACCAGTTCGCACTCCGGGTACCAGAAGGTGTTACCTGTGAGCCATGTAAGGGTCGCCTGTGCGTCTCGCTCACTGAACCTTTTGAAGTATACACGGAAAAACATGTACATCTAGCCTGTTGTTTCTACCATCAGGAAGTACAAGGTTTTCAAATATATTTCTATTTCTCACTGAAAAATGTGGCTTATTTTATAGTATTATTTTGAAATTTACCTTAAAAATTGTGGTTACCAAAAAAAAATTTTAAAAAATTGTGATTACCAAAAGAAATAACTATTCATTACAGAATCTTTAGTATGAAGAAATTAAAAATTACCCATGCTTGCATTACTGAGAAATAACCATTTTAACTTAATGTACTTCTTTGTTGTTATCTCAACCTAATGTTAATAAAAATGTGATCATATTATAATTTTAAATTTAAAAAATTACAGTCCTAAGGAATGAACCCATGGCGTTCTACCACTTAATCCCCATCCCTGTCTATATAGGTAGTTGGTTGTTTGTTTATGTTTAAGACGGGGTCTTGAGCTTGTGCGTCTCCAGCCTCAGCCTCAGAGGCTGGGAGCACGGGGTGTGCCGAGGCGCCCGCAGTAGTTTAGCTTATATACTGTGAATAACTAGTTTGCCTTTGACAGATTACTAGGCCTTTGTAATGGATAGAGATGCCAGATGTCCTAAGAATATGAGAATTTATTTCTCTAATGTTCAAATGCTAATTTGGTTTTCAAATTATGCTAATATTACAGCATAGTAACACTATATAATTCTAACACAGAAAGCAAATCTTGGTAAAAGAATAATGGTTTAAAATTTAATTTTTTGTTCTACTTTAAATGTAGCTTTTAATCAGGAATCTCTTTGCAAAAAATTGATATAAAGGATACTATTATGCAGATATTCCTAACTTTTTTGCAGCTATATCAATAGCAGAAAGGCTATTACTTATCTCAAAATTTAAAACTATTTGAATCAGTTCATCAGGATGATGGTGTATGTGGAAATTATTTATTGATGTTTACAGATTTGTCAAATCCAGGAACATTCAGGGACCTCAGCAAACCAGTGGGAGCCCTGAATAAGGAACGGCTGGAGAGACTGCTGGTATGTCCACATAGGATTCAGGGTTTCCTTTTCTCATTGTTTTGTGACAGGGTCTGGCTCTGTAGCCACGGCTGGCATTGAACTCACAGTGGTCCTCCTGTCCCAACCTCTTGAATGCTGAGATTATGGACATGCACCACCCTGCCCAGGAAATTTGAAGTTTCTAAGCAAAGTCATGACAAGAAAACTTACATTTTAATGGAAGCTGAGACTTCTTTCCCGTAGGTTTAAGAGAGCACACTAGGAGCACATTGCTGGCCATCCGTGGTGTGTCTCCCGCTGCTTTTCCGCGCCATGAGTGTAGCCCTCACATTCACACCCTGGTGCACAGTTCAGGAAGTGGGAGCACGACCTGACACAGGTTCACTGTGCTGCTCTCATGGTGTGTCCTGTGGGGAGTCACATGAGCTACACAACATCGGTGCTGTGTCACCCAGTTTGACAAGACCAGAGCACTTGCCACAGGGGTTGCTGGTCCCAGATGTCCTCTCCCTCTAGTTGTGTCCCCAGCCAGGAAGGAAGCTAAGGAATCCAGCATCCACGTTGCCGCCTCGTTAGGCCTTTACTGACTAAGTTTCTGGCTTGTCTCCAGCATACAGTGCTGTTCACTCCTGTCTCGCAGGCTCGCTACCGGGAAATGCCCGCGCCCAAGTTCATGTATGGGAGCCACTACTCCTCCCCGGGTTACGTGCTGTTTTACCTGGTCCGGATTGGTGAGACTCTTGGCATCACCCTTGATTCTGTTTTGCTTCACATGAATCTCAGATGAGGTGCTCTGACTTCGCTGCCTTTCTCCTCTCAGCGCCAGAGTATATGCTGTGCCTACAGAATGGAAGATTTGATAATGCAGATAGAATGTTCAACAGGTTTGACATAAATGCCTCACTTAGTAGTCTGATGATTATATATGCTCATAATGTTTGCTGTGAAACTAAATATAAATAAAAATGTTAAGTGTTTTTAAAAATCATTATTATAGCTGCCCCTTTCCAGCTTTTAAAAGATATATAATATAATACATATATATATAATTTTTTGAATTTACTTTTTGGTATGGGACTCGAACTCAGGACCTAGCACTTGCCATGCGGTCACTGTACTGCTCAGCTGTGTCCCCAGCACCTTGAGAACATATTCTATTTATTTTTTATTTTTTGTATTTTAGGGAAAGGCCTACAGGGAGTACAGGGCCTCACTACCCACCTCTTTTACAGCCTCCCAAGAGCTGGGATTACAGGCGCGTGCCACCATGCCATCTCAGTTGCCATCTCCGCGTGCCTTGGGGGCAGGGCCGGCACAGCAGGCTCAGGGATGGAACACGGGGCCCTGCGCCTGCCTGCCGGGAACATATTCTGAATACAGACTTTCACCCTGGTTTTTTTTTTTTTTAACAGAACTGGGGCTTGAACTCAGGCCCTTGCGCTTGCCAGGCAAGCGCTTATTCTACTGAGCCATCTCCCCGGCCCTTCACCCTGTTTTTTGTGGCCTGATATTAGATCTTGAAAATTTCCCCATACTACTAGTGATTTTTAGAGATTACATATTCTAACATATGCCATAATTTATTTCAGCTATTTTTCTCTATTCAACACTAATAGTTTCCAATGTCCTATTATTTTTAATTCTGCTATGAATTGAATATAACTACCTGAAAGTATTTACCTTGTGTGTGTGTGTACTCTTTCCTTATCAAAATATAAAAGAAAGAAGTACAGACCACTTGGTATGCCATCACACGAGGACGGTGATAGCTGTTCATCTGTGTCTCTGAGTACTTTTGAGCTTTCGCTCCTCCTAAATGAGCCATTAAGAGAGGGACTAACCCTGTGGCTAACCTGCAAGGCTGTGGGGGCCTCCTGATGAGCGCTTGGTGACACCAAGTCGTGGCGTAGCTCCCTGGGCCCGTCGTCTCTCTCACTGAAGGCACACGCGTGGGCGAGGAAGCGCGTGGGAGTGGGGCGGTCCCTCGCAGAGCGGCAGGGTGTGCGGGGTGTGCGGGCTGTTCCTGCGGCTAGACTCAGGGGTGCGTTTCCCCCATTTAGTGTTGCAGAAACCTGGAGAAACTGCTTGGATGGTGCGACGGATTTTAAAGAAGTAAGCAGTTCGTGAAGGCAGTGGCCATGGGGTGGTGGCTCTAAGCTGCTTTTTTCAATATTGCTGTTTTTTCCTCCCTAAAACTTTCAGCTGATTCCAGAGTTCTATGGCGACGATGTCAGCTTTCTAGTCAATAGTCTGAAGTTGGATCTGGGGAGGAGGCAAGGAGGACAGGTGGTCGACGATGTTGAGCTTCCCTTGTGGGCCTCAAGTGAGTACATCCTGCCGGCAGCCTGTCATGTGTATGCGTTCCTTCCCGAGTGGTGCGGGTTTACTATCACTGTTGTGTTGCTTGGATTTTTTTTTCATTATTATTTTTTTTCTTTTGGTACCAAGGGTCAAACTCAGGACCTTACGCTTGCTATGCAGGCACTTATGCTACGGGCCTATCTCCCTAGGCCCTGTTGCTTGGATTTTTTAAAGTAGTAGTATTGTTGTCTACGTGAAATAGTATCAGTCCATTCCAAATCAAAAGTATCCTGAGTCCGTGATGCAAAAACTTAGTGTGTATTTGAGAGACCTAATTGCTATGAAAATAATTCTTGCCACTTTTTTCCCAAAAAACATACGTTTCATGTTGTGGAAGGAGAAAAACCACATTTAAGATATGTATCTTGCCTATCATAGAAGTTTTATCTGCCTGTTGGTAGACAAAACAAGTGAGAGAAGGTAAACTGGAGACCACGTGGTCTTCTGACGGAGTCTAATCCTATAGGTCCTGAGGACTTTCTCCAGAAGAGCAGAGAGGCGCTGGAGAGCAGCTATGTGTCTGAGCACCTCCACGAGTGGATCGACCTCGTGTTTGGCTATAAGCAAAAGGGCGAGGATGCCATCGGGGCCCACAATGGTGAGCAGCACTCGCCGAAATTTCAGTTAGTACTCAGTGAAAATAAAAGTAAACATGCAAAAGTATGAGGCCAGAACAGTCGAGCGCATTCCTTCTGCAGAAGCGTCCTGCGTCAGACAGTGGGGCCTGCTGGCTCTGTGTTGGATGTGAAGTGACAGAGGAAGGGTGGCTTTTGCCTGGATGTCACCTGCCTTGTGATGGTTCCAAGAGGTCTTTCCTAAAGGCTTCTGATTTTAGCATCCACAGCATCTCTCAGTATCTACAAGGATTGTTCTAGGTCCTTTTGTAGACACTGAAATCTGTAGATGCTCGGTCTTTTATATAAAATAGTGTATGTTTGTAGGGCTGGCGAAATAGTTCAGCAGACTAAGCACCTGCTTAGGCAAGCACAGGGACTGAAGTTCAATCCTTGGCACCACAGGCCGCTCCGGTCCTGGGCACTGGTGCACTGCGACGGCCACCAAGTCTGGGATGGTGGTGCACACCTGTAATCCTGGCGCTGGGGAGGCAGGAAGCAGGAGGATCACTGCGAGCCCGAGCTGCATAGTGAGATCATGTACCAAGTACATTAAAAAAAAAGTGTGTATTTGCATAAAAACTATACATCATCCTGTTTGTTTATTGATTTATTTAATGTATTTAGTACAAAGTCTCTAGGGTCTCACTACACAGATCGGACTTGCAGTGATCCTTCCTGGTTTTTAGCCTCCCAAGCCCTGGGATTACAGGTGTGTGCCACCATGTCCAGTCTCAGCCAGCTACTCAGCATGCCCGGGGCGGGGCCCGCACGCACACCAGGCATTGAGCCCCCAGCCCCTGCATCTGCCTAACAGGTGCTCTAACCCCCTGAGCTATCTGGCCAGCCCCATCCTGTATATTTAAAATCATCAGATTATTGATTATTATTTAAAATTGTCACATTACTTCCCATTCAACAATTTAGGAAAAGAACAAATGAAAGGCAAAAAGTATGTTTAGGTTTATATGCACAATAGTTTGGATAATTATCAATTTCTGCTAGTATTTTGAAAGGAGCAGGTAATGCATAAAAATTTTTTTACTTTGATTTTTTTTTCTTCCTATTTGGATTTCTTATAACTTCTTCATCTTTATTTTATTTTGGTTTTTCTTTAAATAAATCTTACCCACTTATAGCTGGTAATATGAACAATTAATTTGAAGATAGTACCTTGTCATACAGCAACCATTGTTGAATTCTTATTACTTTGTTTAGTGAATTTTGTATTGTCTCTAATTCTGGGTGATTTTTTTTTCTGTCACTATTTTGTGTTTTTTTTTTTTTTTAAATTATTATTTTTTTAAATTATTTATTTATTTATTACATTTATTTATTGTGTGTGTGTGTGTGTGTGTGTGGCCAGCTCAGCCCACCGGGGGCGAGGCTGGCTGGCATGTGGTGCTGAAGGATCGAACCGCGGTCCTTGTGCTTTGCCAAGCTTGTTCCAAGTAGTTGCTTTAGACCACTGAGCCATCTCTCCAGCCCTTGTGTTTTTTTTTTAAAAATTAAAAAATTATCACATTGCTGAAAACACTTTACATCAGTGCTACATAAATAACTGTTATACTGTATTGTTTAGGGAGTAATGAAATAAAAAGTTTGTACCTGTTCAGTACAGGTATGTTTTTCCCAGTGTAGACCATTGGTTGGATCCACAGATGTAGAACCTACTGATAGAGAATTGACTGTGCTTTCTGTGTCTCTTAATAATCCAAACTAAAACTTTAAGTATGGCAGGACAGTGTCCTCAGTGCCTGTGAAGGTCTCCGCGCTTTTCTGTAGGTATGCAGAAGATACCTCCCCCCGAGCTGCAGCTTCTGTGCCTGTTCCTCCCAAGGCGTCTGGGCCAGTAACAGGACCTGGAGCTAGCACTGTGACCTCATGTCTCAGCGCTGTCAGGGCAGCCTCAGTGTGCCTTGCGCTGCCCCGAAGGAGGTCTGCTGCCTGGGAACGCGCCTCGATTCAGCCAGCTAATCTGCCAAGCAGACAGTTTTTGTTTGTTTTTTCATGGAAAGATAAGGATCAAAGCTAATCTTTACATAATTTGAATATTAGTCTGGTTTGCAAAATGAAAATTAAGTTCTTTGAACAGAGTTTTAATTTGTTGAGATGTTTAAATTCTGAACAGGGTGTACATTACAGCCAAATAAAACATCTTTCAGTAGTGTTTATATCTGTCTTTCAGTTTTCCATCCCCTGACCTATGAAGGAGGGGTAGATCTGAACAGGTATGTACATGTCTACATGGCATTCCATGTGAGTTATAAAACACCTTGTCTACATTACTAATCAAGTTGCTTGAGAATGTTGATTCAGAAATTTTAAAATGAATTTTATGTTGCTTTTACCATGATGCTGGTTGCTGACAATCAGAAAACAATCTAAGGTCTGTCATGAGGTTTAGGCAGTCTGGCCTGTCATTGCTGTCATTATTTGAGTGTTGCTCCCTCCTGTTTTGTTTGTATCATTTGAAACGTGCTATCTGGAGCCTCGAGCCTGTGCTCACTGCACTGTTTGTGTTCTGTCACACAGCATCGAGGATCCTGACGAGAAGGTGGCCATGCTGACCCAGATCTTAGAATTCGGGCAGACCCCCAAGCAGCTGTTTGTCACTCCTCATCCTCAGAAGATCACTTCCAGGTTCAGAGTTACGCCTCCGATCTCCAGCTGTAATGATTCCCCAGGTAAGGTTTGTAGAGAAAACGAATGTGAACACTCTTGGTTTCTCTTTTCTGGTGAAGTATTTTCTGAGATGAGATGAACCGTGAACGGTGCTCCTGCCAGGAGATGTGCTTCCCCTGCCTGTTTTTTTGTAGCTGTTCAAGAAAATACATTCAGGGTTTTGTTTTGGTTTTGGTTTTTGGTGGAACTGGGGATTGAACTCAGGCCCATGCACTTGCCAGGGAAGTGCTTATTCTATTGAGTCATCTCCCCGAACCCTGTAAGCATACATGTGCAGAAACCAGTGTGGGCAAAGATGGCATTATTTGAAATCATCTTCTTGCAATCTGGAAAAGTGCAATAAAAATATATTCTTCCAAAAAAAAAAAGCTGAGGATGTAACTCTGTGATAGTCTTTGCCTAGTCTACATATGGCCCTGAGTTCCATTCCCAATACTAAAAGGAAGAAAATAAGTGCTTGCCTGGCAAGCGCAGGATTCTGAGTTCAATCCCCAGTACCACAAAAATGAACTAAAAGGAAGAAAAGATAGTTATCTCAATAGAGCCATAGGACACTTATACTATTCTTTTCCAATTTCCAATGTTAGCGTCTTTTTTTAAATGAAGTATGTGAATAAATTTGTTTAAATGTCTCTTCAATTGACACCATATCTCAAAAAAAAAAAAAAAAAAAAAAAAAAAAAAACATACAAATCACTTTTATTTTTTGTCAGTCTGACTCATGAGGCCTGGCTTTCCCACTTCCTGTGCTGTAGCTCCCTGACTTTTCTGTGGTTTTGCTAAATTCTGAGAGACTCACCTTTTCAGACATATTCCTGGCCACTGGTTCTTTAAGTCACTATCTGCCTTCCTCTTTCCCAGAAATGACCTCTCTCCCCACTTCTCTGCAAAACTGACATATAGATTTTTTTTAAAAAATGTATTAGCACAGGGTGTACAGGGTCTCACTACACAGATGGGACTCGTAGTGACCTCCTGTTTGCAGCCTCCCAAGCGCTGGGATTACAGGCACGCGCCACCACGCCCAGTCTCGATGCTAGCTCAGCCTGTCCCTGGGGCGGGCCAGCTCAGCACGCCAGGGATCGAACCGTTCCCTGTGTCTGCCTAAGCAGGCGGCACCGTAACTGGCTGAGCTCTCTGGCTGGCCCTAAAACTGACATACAGATCTTGAATTCATATTGCTCTGTTCTCGTATTTAATGTTTGATGAATACGTGCAGCGGGTCTGCTCTGTGCAGGGTCAGTGCTGGCAGTAAAATAAACTTGACCATCCAACACTCACCGCGTTTTATGTCTCCCACAAGGCAGCCGCAAGCCTCCAGGCCCCTGAGGAGCCGTGTGACTCCACAGCCGAGGCTGGCAGCAAAACCGGCGCATTTGTTTTAGTTTCTGAGCCTGCTATGCGAGCGGAGCAGATCTGGGCCTCTCGGCGACCACAGCTGGTGCTGGCCTCAGCGGGGGCGGCTCGGAGGCACCAGGCCAGGGCGAGCCTGCTGTCTGCTCCGCGGCATGAAGTCACACAGGCCACATGACTGCCTTGCGATGCTGTTTCGCCCATGCCCTTCTTAGTCACCAGCCATAGCCACTGTCACATGAGGTCTGTGAAAGTGTGACTGCGTCAGCTTGTCTGAAAGCAGAAGTGAAAGCCTTGCTGTGCTCCAGAAACCGTCAGTTTTCTTTTCTTTTCTCTTCTTTTCTTTTCTTTTTTTTCCCTCTTTATTTTCTACCCCAAAACCAAAACCAAAAGAAAAAGAAAAGTCAACCCAAAAAAACCCAACTTGTGACATAGTTAGGCAGCGGTCCGGTTTTTGCAGTGTCTGTTGTTGAGGACCTGGCTGCGCAGTCTTGCACGTACCGACCTTCGCGAGGGCGTGGCCAAGGTGGGCTTTGTGCGCATGCGTGAGACTCCAGTGTTTGAAGATGTTTCTTTTTCTGCAAAGTGTCTTCCTTGACTGTTTTCTCAGTTACTCTTCTCTCATTGCTGGGACAAAATACCCAACACCCAGAACGAAGAAGGAAAGGTTTATTTAGCTCACAGTTGGTGCAGGTTGCAGGCCATACTCAGCTGGCTCGAAGGCAGACGGCACATGTGATGGGGGGGTGAGGGGGGTGGGGGGGCAGCAGTTCGTGGCGGAAAACGACTAGAGCAAAAGGGAGCAATAGCAGCAGCAGACAGCGAGTCCGTCGTCTTTAGGTTGCGTCCAAGTGTCCGCCCCAGGCCGGATGTAGCACTCACACCCCTAATCCCAGCAGCACTCACACCCCTAATCCC